GGCTACATTGCATGCTGATGTGGTGCTACCTCTGGTCAACATTGCATGCTGATGTGGTGCTACCTCTGGTCTACATTGCATGCTGATGTGGCGCTGCCTCTGGTTTACAGTGCATGCTGATGTGGCCCTGCCACTGGTCTTCATTGATGATGTGGCATATGCCACCTATCTCGACTGCCAACGTGGCACTGTCCACGCTGTCTACATGAGGTGACTGGTTGCGTGGAGGAGGAAGATCGGGATCTGTGGATGAAGGAGATCGGGTACTCACCTGAGGTTGACGTCGACACTGGAATCTGCTATGTCTTCATGGTCTTCACGAGATAAAGTGCCACGTGGCACTACCGTATGTGATCAGGAATATACTTACTGACATTGTTGACGTGGAGAGGGAAGAAGCCCGGAGAAGGAGAGCGATTTGAAGGGATTATTATTGTGTGATCTTTCACCTTCTCCTTTGTCTGTTCCCCCTCCAATCCCTTCTTTTGATGGTAATGAGATACTGTTTGAGATTTCACTTCACGATTTGGAGACTTTGATGCAGACAATGAAACTACTGATGTTTGACAACCACTGAGGATCTGCCAGACTGGGTTCATTACAATGAAGAAAAGAGGAAAAAACCTACATTGATATAGCAGCACATGCATGCCAGAAATTGTCCTGAAAGCTTTTGCCATCCTGGTCTGGAGTCTCTAGCAAAGCAGTGACGGAGTACACCACATCTGCAGCAGAAACCCTATACCTGCAAACAGGCAGTGGGCACAAACAGAATGCATCAGACGCAGTGAAAAGTCTGAGATCCAATCTGCCTCCACAACCAGACACCAATGCAACTCTTGTCTCAATTCAGGTAGTCTGTTCCCTCTGCAATAACTACAAACAACATGATCCAAATATAAATCGAACACCGTTTCAAGTCATATAGCTATCTCAGGGTCTCGACCATAATGGACAGACATGCGGGTTGCGTACTTGTGTAAGGGACGTGGGCCCGGTCTCCAGCTGGTGATATAAAACGTTTTTTTGGTAGGTACGTAGGTTGGTCGGTCGGTAGGTAGGTAGGAAAGAAGGAAGGAAGGAAGGAAGGAAAGAAGGAAGGAAGGTAGGAAGGAAGGAAGAAGGAAGGAAGGAAGGAAGGAGGCAAGGAAGCAAGGAAGGAAGGAAGGAAGGAAGGAAGGAAGGAAGGAAGGAAGGAAGGAAGGAAGGGAGGAAGGGA